CGCCCCGCCCCCGCTCCCAGGCTCCGCCCCGCCCCTCCCAGGCTCCGCCCCGGCCTCCTCAGATCCCACCCCGTCAGGTCCATCCAGGCCCGGCCTTTCTCTGCTCCTTTCTGCGCGGCGGCGGTCAGGTGACAGCCCGGAAACTGCGGAAGCGGATGAGGCAGAGAGGCTGCGGCCCTGGGGGCGGTGCGGAGCTGCTGGACCTCCTCCGGGCTCCCGGCACGGCCCTCATGCGGCGCCCTTGCTGATACCTGAAGTGCTCTGCTCTCGGTCTTCTGGGAACCGCAGGGTCTTCCGGCCCGCCGCCCTAGGCGGTTGAAATCGCCCTGCGGGCCCACGTTGGCCGCAGATGGAGAAGGCCGGCCTGGGCGGCGAAGGCGCCCCCCGGGGCCCTGTATTGCACATCGTGGTGGTTGGCTTTCACCACAAGAAGGGCTGCCAGGTGAGGAGGGAGCCAGCGTCGCCCCCGGCCGTTCGGGCGTTCGCACCCACTGGGTTCAGCGCGTGTCGTGCTTCCTCCCTCCTGTTCCCGCGTCTGGTCGCCGTGTAGTCGACCCTCTGCTCCTCGCCTTGCTCCACTTGAAGCCTAGTTTCCACAACCGTTTTTCTGTCAGAGAAAATTGCATTCTGAGCAGCCGTAGAATTGGTATGTGTAGGTTGCAGGTTTTTAAGTTTGGTGATGTGAGAGGAAGAAATGGCCCCCATTCTTCCCATACATCACTATCTCCACTCACTTGCTAGGTATTTGACAATAATGGAAGTATTTAGGAAAAAGTTAGCTCAGTAGACTACCGCAGAAATACTTCGTGTGGGAAAAAGCATTTGAAGGTGCGTGAGAAAATTAACTTCCTTTCTTTACCTAATGGAAGTCAGAATCTGTTGTGTTAAGGTTATTAATTGGCCTCGCTCCAACTTCCCTATTAGACCTGTTTGTTTGATCTTGTCCAAATCTTGCCTTTAGATGAGAGGAAATATCGAGCAAAGTGTGCAAATAGCCGTTTTTCAGCTTCCTCACTAATCATTGGCAGTCTATGGTATGGAAGGCACTTAAACAAGATAGAAACAGGAGCCAGCAAACATTGGAAGGTAATGATGTCATAATGTGCTCGTAAACAGTAAATTTTTAAAAATTAAGTAGTAAAACTACTGAATGTTATCACTAGGTAGTGTAGCATTTCTTATTTTACAGAAAATGTAACATCTTAGTAGACTTGTTGGCAAAAGTTAAGTTCGAGAATAACAGAAAGGATGGTCGAGTTGATGTGTTTAAAGAGGACTTAACTTTAAAATATTATATTGATCTTCCCTCAGATTAAAAAAAAAGCCATAGAAAGTCACCAAGGAGGAAGTAAAAAAACTTGGCCCTATAAAAAGAATAAATAATTGAAATTGTACCATGGCATGTAAACAGTATTCATTATCATTAGTTTTTAAATATTTAAAACTATATATTTGAACATACTAGTCATTTTAAAAAATTAAGTGTTATTTAAATTTATTTATTATTATTTTAAAGAATTTGTCATAGGGCACAAGTACACACCAGAGAGAGACAGAGAAAGTGAGAAAGCAAGCTGCCATGCCCTGGACGCAAACCACATTCAGCTGTGTGGGAGCCTAGCACCTTAACCACCATGCCACTTGCTGGCTAGTCACTTTATAAGTTTCTCTGTAAATGACTGAAGTATTTGAAACTTAAAGGTGATGAATTGGTCTTGCTGAGATCATACTGTGAAACTGTCCTGGAATTGCTCGTGTTCTCATATGTATTTACTCTTCTGTAGCATTTTAGGACTCTCAGGGTAAAGAAAGAGGTGGAAACCTGCTTAAATACCATACTGATTGGAATGTTGGACAAGAAAGAAGAAAATATATTGGTAGAAGATGGAATAAAATTTCTTAATTTCTGATGTCATCTACAGTCAAGATTATATTTTCTACCTATTTTTTGAAAGTAATATATAGAATAATTTATATTTCCAGAAAGGAAAATTTATTTTATAAACTAAAGTTCAATGTTGCTGAGAGATTAAAGAAAACTGAATAACTATAAAAGGAAGGAGGCACCTTGGGCTGAAGGTGCACCCTGGTTGTTAAGGCATTTCTCTGGGTTTGTCTGGCTTTTGGCATCCACACTGAGGTAAAAGTGACAAGTTTTGTAAAATGAAGACTATGCTGGGAGTCTGGGGGCTGTGGTAATGTCACATTATAGTTCTCATGGTTAAACAAGTTCAAATTGCTTAGTGTTTCTTTATTTCAGTTTCCCCTTCCAGATTCCTTTTAAGAATTTCGAGTATCCTTAGAGATTCACTCCAACCCCTTAAATTTTCAGCCAAGTAAACTGAAACCCATAGAGGTTTAGTAACTTGAGCATACTTGCATAGCTAGTTTGGTATTAACACTGAAATCCAGTGTCCTTAGTAATTATATTTCCTTTAAAAATATATATTTACAGGGGTAGCAGGTGGTGGTTGGTTGGCGTGGTGGTTGAGTTGCTGACACCCATGTGTCGATTGTGGTTCAAGTCTTGGACCCAGTGGCTTGAAACTCACACTGTCATGTGTGTTCGAGCCCAAAATTCTGAGATGAGAGTTAGCAAAGATTTTAAACTCTCTGAAGTGTGCCCAAAACATAATTACTACCTGTTGTAAACTGTTTGAAAACTATTCACAAAACTGGGCATGCTGTCATGCCTGTAGTAAGGTAGAAGAATCATAAATTCAAGGTCAGCCTGGGCAAAATAGCAAGACACTGTCTCTTAAGAAAACCAAAAATGGCCTAGCCACACAGCAGCACACAGTGGATGCTACTGCTTGGCAGGCTGAGACCACATAGAAGAGTCAGGTTCAATTCTTACTCTAAAAAGCCAAGCACAGTGGTATGTACCCATAGTCTCAGCTACTTGAGAGACTGGGAAGTTGTGGCAAGCACAGGCTATACAGAGAGACCCTGTCTGATAGAGCCAGTGTGATTGTGGGTGCTTGTAATTTATTTATGCAGTAGGATCTCAACATAGCAAGACCCTGTCTTAAAAAAATACACACAGGGACCAGCAGTTGGCGTAATGGCTATGTCACTGGACTCCCATGTAGTCAACCGTGGTTCGAGTCCTGGACCCAGTGGCTTAAACTCACGCCGGGCGCGTGTGCATGCGTGCCCAAGATCCCGAGAGTAGAATGGAGGAGAAGGGATTGCGGCGTGGTCATCCCCTCTGGGGGGTGATTTCTCGCTTCCTGTCTCTCTGTCTCTGTCTGTCTGGCGAGCGCACGTGCCCCATAGCAAAAACCTCTCAAAAAAAAAAAAAAAAAACAGGCCAGCAGGGGGTATGGTGATTAAGGCACTGAATTCCCACATGGCTGACTGTGGTTCAAGTCCCATAATTGGCAGCTTGGAAATCACAACAAATAAATATTTTAAATAGGCTTTAGTCACCATGTAATTATTTTGTGATGATACTAAAAATAATTGTTGTCATTTATTGAATGTTTACCATATACTAAGCACTATGTTAAATGTATGTTTAAAATCTCATTTATTCCTCACAGTGAACTGTTAAAAACAAAATTTTAACAACTTTCATTGAAATATCTAATTGGTCTTATTAACTAATAAGAAATCTACTTATCTCATTCAAAGATTTAGAAAAGGCATACTGATGAGTTAAACAGAGAATGACTTGAAGGCAGAGAAAGGTTAGAGAGCAGAAATGGGGGACAGAAAGCAGATAGGTCTTTTTAAAAAATTATGTTTTTCCAAAGGGCGTGTGCATTCACCAGAGAAGGATGGAGAAAGAGAGAGGGCACGTCACATTGGGATACGTCATGTCACAATTCCTATCCATTTCTCCCTCCTGTAAGGATTTTGGGCACACATGCACATATTCAGCATGTTTTTCAAGCTTTTGGGGCTGGGATTCGAACCACACAGTCAGTCATGTAGAATAGGCCATGGAGCTAGTCCCAAATTGTTTATTTTAAGTCATTTTCCTTATGGCATTAAAACAGAGGGGTTTTCTTTATCATGCCAGCATAAGTAAACTGGGACCCTTCAGATTGGTTTCTGTGAATCTCATTATTGGAAATCTTGTTTCAAAGATAGCTAACTTTGAGTGACTTCATTATAGTTTAGTCTGATTTGCTGGGTTAGTGCAGGAGCTCAGTCCAAAATAGTGGTCTCCCATGAATTTCACTTATGGTCTCAAAAGCACTATTTCACCTCTGTAGTGTACATTTCATTTTTCTGGGCATCTGGTACACATAAAATGTAAAATACTGTCTCATACCGACATATAGGAGTGTTAAGGATGTGCTGTTTGAAAGATAACAGTTGAGCAATGTAGTAATTTATGGCCAGCTTTGTGATAGAGTGAAGAGGCAGAATATCAGTTGTTTTGTAGTATTGACTTTTCAAGAGATTAGGGAAAGAAAACAACTCACAGAAGACTTGTTTTTTTCTTTTTCTTTTTTTTAAAAATTTTTATATACATTCAATCACATTATTTAGCTTACAAAGGGAACATTTCAATATGTGAACATTTCTCCCCAGTCCAGTCGATCAGAATTATCTTTAACCTATAACACCACACCTCCCCATCCCGTCAATGCTCTGCCTCCATATCCCTCCTCCAAATGTCCTTCCTTAGGCCCCACTTCTCCACACACACCACATCTGGCACTAACCCCCATCTCTTGGGTTTATACAACCTTGGGTGAATCAGTTTCAGCCATAAAGTACAGACACTCAGTATATATTAAGTGGGGACATACAATGTCTCTCCTTCATAACCTGGCTTGCTTCACTCAGCAGTAAATCTTCCATATTCTTCCACTATCTGTCAAAAGCCAGTTTTTTTTTTATGGCTAAATAGTATTCCATAGAGTATATAGACCACAGTTTTTCAATCCATTCATCCATATGGGGGCATTTGGGTTGGTTCCATGTCTTGGCAGTCATGAATAGTGCCACAATAAACATTGATGTGCAAGCACATTTCCAGTGAAGAATTCTTCGGTCCTTTGGGTAGATACCGAGGAATGTGATTGCTGGATCATATGTTAGTTCTATTTATAGATTTTTGAGGAATCTACAAATTGTTCTCTACAGTGGCTGGACCAATTTACATTCTCACCAGCAGTTAAAAGAGCAACCCCGTCAACACTTTGTTTCTTCAATGTTAGACATTCTGACTGGTGTTAGGTGGTATCTCAATGTTGTTTTGATCTGCATTTCCCTTACAATGAGGGGTGTTGAGCATTTTTTCATATGCCTTTTGGCTATTTGTATGTCATCTTTAGAGAGTGTTTTTTCCAACTCCTACTCCCATCTTTTTTTTTTTTTTTTGAGAGGTTTTTGCTATAGGGCGCGTGCGCTTGCCAGCCCGACCG